CCCTTCTTCTGATCCTCATACTACACCAGACAAGCCTCGATTCTCCACCTTCAATGTTCCCCTACTCCAGCCCTCACCTCCCACAGCTTCCTAAAGTGTTGTGAGAGAGCAGAGTGGAGCCGCAGGCCTGCACGGCCCAGGTGCTGTGTCAGCCTATGTGCCGGTTCCGCGGCGTGTACGGCCTGGAAAGTCACATGGCGGTGGGACCGGCCGGCGCCTCCACACTCTTGCTCTTCTCAAAGCAAGACAAGATAAACGAGTCCACTCACCTCCACGAAGAGCAACATGTCTTCCCCCGTTCTGCCCAATCGTTCTCGCAGCTGCTACTCCAACTGGCTTACAGGCCCGAGCCCCAAACGCTAGCTAGGATAAGGACACTCGCCTGGCCCCTCCACCCGGCAGTGGACCCGGCTCCTCCCCCGCCGTCAGCTTCTGCGGCCTGACCCGCCCAGTCCCACCTCCCTTGAAACAGCAACTGTTTCCGGTGCTAAAGAACAATTGCTTCCGGGAGAAAAGAAAACCCTAGGCGTGCTCAACTTTTGTACCACCTATTCCAGCAGCAATATGGAATGTACTATCATCTATCCTGGGAGGAGGAGAGAAGCAATCGGAGGAAGGGACCATCCTGTGCTACGGTGGTGTGTAAAGGTCTTCCTGCATTTCATCCATTGCCAAACGGATAGCTACCATGGCCATAATAATTTTGCAGTTTTCATAGCTCAAAATCTACATCTGATAAAAAGCCGGGCTTGTGTGAAATGTTCTGAAGGAACGCCCAACCCTGCCGAAAAGGTGGTGGCTAACAGAAAAAAAGTAGAGAAGGAAAAAAAAAAAGAGCACTAATAGTAAATACATTAATAGCAGCTGCTGTAATTTAAATGCTTACTATGTGTTTGGCATTATTCTAAGTATTTTACGTGAATTAATCTTAAAACGACCATAGGCAACAAATACTATTATCCCCATTTTACAGTTAAGCCCTCTAAGGGTTTCCCTTAGACACACCTTTAAAGAACTTTGCCCCTTGTTCGCCTGAATCCGATACCCACATCTCCGTTTAACATAATGCTACCTACTACTACTTAGTCTGGATAGCCTCTTCTTGATGTTCTGCCATCAAGTCAAATGAAATAGAATAAAAACAAGAAAAAGTTAATTATATTTACAATTTTCTATTAGATGATCCAGATTCCTTATTATTTTTAACAATAGCTAGTACGAGTTATCCCTCCCTTGTCAGTCTCACTTTTGTACCCTAGTTCAGACACTCATCTTTTCAAATAAGTTTTTGACCTTGTCCACTGGATTTTTTCCATTCTATTATTTCAAAGGTTTCACTCTCACCTAACTGCTGTTACTTACTTTCAGTATTTTCAATATCTGATCCCACATAATCTCCCTTTAACTCACATCTCCTTACTTTTTCACTTAGATACCAGATAAATTCCTCTATCGAATTGCTATTTGTGCCTCGCATTCTTCCTAATCTGATTCTCAGTAAACTCTACATTACTTCATCTCAATCAAACCAATCTCCTCTCTTTTTCCCTGACATACAAATTCAGCACTCACCTCCAAAGCCATGGCTCAAAGTGTCTTTCCTATCTGAAATGCCTTCATTTGTCAATCAACCTTCTCTCTCCATAAGATTTTTCCAAAGACTGTGCTCCCCACAGGTCTCTTCTTCATGTCTTGTTAGCACTTGTATATTATATTCTATCTTAAATGATTTTCTTTTTTTGTTTGTTTTTTAGTTTCTTCACGGGTACCCTATCATATTCTTCACAGTCTAGGATAATGGTAGCCACATAGTAGTGTCTCAACGAATGCTTGTCAAATTGAAAGGGAAGGAGAGATTTTAAAATTTGCTTTAACAAGTCTTCATTTCAGGTTGCTGATGAATTCCATGCTGCATAAAAAATATGAGACACAATAATCCTAAATTAATTTAGTTGACAAGCATGTAGGCTGCTTTGTGAATGCCTGCTGGAGTAAGCAGTGTAAAGGAATCAAGAGAAATAAAACTTATTTAAGGATATCACAATCTAATATTATCAACAAAATACTTAAACAGATTAATTGATAATCTCAAGAAATGCTGGATAATGATGAATATTTTAATTAAACCTCACATTTCTAAAAATAAATAATTCTCCTTAATTGTCCTTGCAGAAAACATTATGAAGTTCCTTGAATAGACTTAATTGTGATTTACAGGAAAGGGGGTAATAATCTTTTATGACTAGGGACAGGGTGGGCAGTCTAACAAAAAAAGAAAGTATTCTGGGGCTAAGAAATGTTTCCATGAAGAGCAGAATTGGAAACTATAATGGATATCCAAATTTTAGACAGTTTCTGTACAGGAACTGAGGAAGAATATACCAAATGTTAGAAAAAGAAAACTAGGTATAGGATCTGTTTTTGACAAGTTCACCAACTAATGGAGCTAGACAAATAATAAGTAGGTATACTTCGATAACTACTATAATAGAAAGTTTACAAAGTATTTTGGGAACAGAGGAGGGATTAACTTAGACAAAGGACCTTAAAGAGAAGGAAAAATAATTTTCTTTATATATATACTGATATTTTTAAAAGAAAACTACTTTATGATCCTCTGCCTCCCTTTCTCCAAAGGCCTGAAACATATAAATTGTTTAACTTTACAAGTTTACAAGGAATCAACATAGGACTAAATTTACAATAAGGACTCAACATAGGATGTTCTTGAAGAGAAATTAAGTTGTACATCCACAACTTATATAAAATCTAAAACCTACAAACTGATATAGTTTATGAATACATACACCTGTAGTAAAATGATATAAACGCAAATGACATAAATACAGCAAATTCATGACCGTCATTGCCTCTCAAAAGGGGCAGAGGGGAAGGAAGGGACCTGGAGAGAACACCAAAGGGTACTTCAACTTTATCTCTAATGCTTTCTTTTATTTAAAAGTATCTGAAGCAAATATGACAAAATGTTAATATTTGTTCATTCTAGGTGATAGGCACATGGCTATATGTTATATTACTACCTTTACTTTTTCATATATTTTAAAATTAAAAAATAAGCTACACAGCCAACAAAACTATCCTGTCCTTTAACTGCTCCAGTCTCCTAAATCCCTTTACCTCTTCTGTAATCAAAGGAAATGCCCAAAGTACTCCTCTTTCAGTTAGAAACCAGCCTCTAGCATCCCCTTCAATATCTGGAGCCAACTATAGAAATTTCTTCAGTCAGGTTCGTTGAAAAAACGGGTAACTAGGCAGTGCAAAGAGTATGATCATTCAAATAATATCTTCCAAGTTACTACATGTCTAGGAAAAGTTGAGGGACAGCTTAGGAAGTTGTAACACAATTATTCCATTACAGGCTTAAAAAATCTTAAGCAAAACTTGAAGAAGAAGAACCAGGAGTTACTTTTGATACACTGGAGCTTGAATTCTAACACCTAGATTTTAAGCTCATTTAAGCAGGGCTATATCTTCTATTTCTTTTATCGTTTCTGTTGCCTATTCTTTTCTACCCTCCCTCCCCCCGTCACCCTTCTACCATCACAGTATATAGAATGCCTAATTCTCTGCATATAGTAAGCACTCTTTAAATGTTTAAATCAATGATAATTTCACAATGGGTCTATTATGACATCGCCAGGACTGGAACACCATGGTTAGAAACTATTTAGCAGCAGGGTTAATCACAACCTCTGAGAGAAGGAAAGACCTTTCTAGCTCTCTCTTGGACACATTTATTAGCATTTGCCTATATTCTGTGTGGAAAGAAAAAGAAGAAATAAAAGAAAATCACTCAACTTTTCAAAATATTTATCAAAATGCAAAATGAGAAAGACGGCGAATCTGAATTAGAAAATGAAGTTGTGGGTTCCACCATCATGTCCAGAAAAGCCCCAACTAAATCAGTGGTAACTAAACTTGAAATCCCAGTCACAGTACAGCAAGTCATCTCTAAAATTGAGCAAGCACAACTCCTTCGAGCCAGACAGGTAGGTGGTAAATGAGGAGTTTACAGGTTGCAACTTATTTGTTTGAATTTTCCATGAGCAGCTGCATTTTTTTTTAGAATTCACTTTATGCGTGATATTTGACTGTGTTTGAGGTAACTGATTTCAAATGACAATTTCACTTGACTCTGGGTAACAAGCTCCAATTTTATATCAGTCTCTTTCACTTTCATGTTAGAATTAATCAGGCTTTTAAAGAAATAAATCACATGTGCTATTGAGTGATTTGGATAAAAGAAAAATTAAAATCTATAGCTAATTTTTATATCTAATTTTAGTCAATAGTTTTCATTTGTTCTCAACTGAGTTTTATCAAATAGCTGTTAATAAGAAGAAACACAGATTGTTTTGAATTCTAGCTTCTTTTATTTCTCCTGAACAGTTCATGGAAGAAGGGTTTATTGGCCAAGAGAAATCAAAAGACAATTTAAAAAGCGCTTAAATAATATATCAAAAAGACCTCAAACAATTAAGGCTATACTGCACTCTGTTCTCTCAGACAGAATACAACAAATATCAGTCTGATTAACAGAAATGAATCCAGGGAAAGTTTTTTCCCATATTTAAGGAGTGCTATACTTTCTCATTCTCCACATAGACGTACTCCTGTTCCAGCTCCCCACAACTAGAAACAATAACAATGTTTGCTTTTAATGGCTTTACTGAGGTATAATCAACATACAATAAAATGTATATTTTTTAAGTTTTGATATACACAACTCCTGTGGAACCTTCATCACAATCAACATAATTTACTTATCCCCCGTAAAAGTTTCTTCCTGCCCCTTTACAATCCCTCCTATGCACCCCTCTTTGCTCCACCCCCACCCTAAGCCCCACCCAACCACCAATCCGCTTTCTGTTACTATAGATTATTTTGCATTTAAAAAAGAATTTTATGTAAGTGTAATCATATCGTATCTACTTCTGTCTGTCTTCTTTTACTTAGTATAATTATTTTTCCACATTCTTGTATATATAAATATAATTCATTCCTTTGTATTGCTGAGTATTTTTCCATGGAACGAGCATTTGCATTGTTTCAGGTTTGGGGTTATTACAAATAAATCTGCTATGAATATTCATGTGTTTATTTGTAATTTAAGAATTTATGCTTTCATTTCTTTTGGATAAACAACCTAGGTTTGGAATGGCTGGGTCATGTGGTATGTAAATATTCAATTTTTAAAATAAACTACAAACTTTTAAAAAGTGGTTATACTGTTTTGTACTATATTCCCACAATCAGTAGATGAGATTCTCAATTGCTTCACATCTTTATCAACAGTGTTGCCAGTCTTTTTAACTTTAGCCATTTCAAAAAGTGTATAATAGTAAATATCTCATTTTGGTTTTAATTTGTACTTTCATAATGACTAATGACTTTGAGCAACTTTCCATAATGAGGGCTCACTTGCCCTCATTATGTCTTCTTTGGTAGTTCAATTATTTTGCCCATATTTTAAAAATTGAGTGGTCTGTGTTCTTATTGCTCAATTTTGAGTATTCCTATGTATTCTGAATACAACTCCTTTATCAGACAGGTGATTTGCAAATATTTTTTCCCATTCTGTGGCTTGTCTTTTTTTTCTACTAATAGTGTCTTTCAAAGAATGAAATTTCCAAGTCCAGTATGTCAGTGTTTTCTTTTGTAGATTATGCTTTTGGTGTAGTATATAAGCAATATTGCCTAACCCAAAGTAACAGATATTTTACTTCTGTTACAAAGTAACAGAAAATCAATTGACCATATATGTGTGAGTTAATGGACTCTCTAGTCTGTTCTCTTGATCTGTTTGGCTATCTTTATGCCACTACCACAGTGTCTTGATGACTGACTTTATAATAATTCCTGAAATCACGAAATTTTAGTTCTCCAACTTTGTAATTTTTCAGTTTATGTCCAACATCTTTTCTCACAACTTTCTTTTACCTCCTTTTCCTCTTTTTGGGCTTCTCTGGAGTGACACACTCAAACACTCATAACCTAAAAAGTGTCTTTATCCACACTGCTTTCTCCCTTTGCATTTCCATATGAAATTTTTATTAGTCTGTCAAATGCTGCCAGAAAAGTAAAAAAGCCTGTATCTTGATTGGGATTACATTGAATTTATAGATCAATTTGGAGAAAATTGAAATGTTAAAAATATTGTCTTCTGACCCCTGAAAACAGTACATCTCTTCATTTGTTTATGTCTAATTTTTCTCAGAAGTGCTTTGCAGTTTTCAATGTATAGATAGGTCTTGCATACATTTTGTGAGATTTATCCCTAAGTATTTCATTTTTTTAACGATTTTTTTTTAATTTCCATTCTCAGTTGTTCACAACTGTATATGGAAATACAATAGATTTTTGTGTATTGATCTTGTACACTGAAACCTAGTTATTAGTCTTCATAGATTTTCTTTGTGCATTCTTTGGAATTTTCTACATATACAATCTATGCTGATAGAGGCAGTTTTATTTCCACTTTTCATATCTGTATGCATTTAAATTTCATTCCTACTGAGTAGCCTTCCTGTGTAAAACTGAATAGAAGTGATGAGACATTTTTACTTTGTTCTTGATGTTAGGGGAAAGGATTCAGTCTTCTACCATTAAGTATGATGGTAGCTGTAAACATTTTATAATGCCCTTTATCAAGGTGGCGGAAATTCTTTTCCTAGTTTGCCAAGATTTTTAAATCAAGAATAGATATTGAGGGTTTTTTTTTTCAATAATTGTATATATTGTAAAATCACCACCACCATATGTCTAGTTAACATCGATTACCATACGTAGTTACAAAATTTTTTCTTGTGATGAAATCTTTTAAGATTTATTCTCTTAGCAACTTTCAAATATGCAACACAGTATTATTAACTATATTCATCATTCTGTACACTGCACCCACATAACTTATTAGTACTGGGTTTTGTCAAAAGCTTTTATTCCAACTAATAGAAAAATCATGTGATTTTTCCCTTTGAATCTGTTAATATAATAAATTACATTGATTTGTGAATATTAAACAAGCCTTGAATTTTAGGGATAAACCTCATTTACTCATGATGTAGCATACTTTTTATCATCTTATATTTAATTTGCTAAAATTTTAACAATTTTTGTGTCTATGTTTACATAAATTATATTGGTTTGTAAAATCTTTGGTATGGGCATCAGAGTAATGCTAGCTTTATAGGCTCAGGTAGAACATTCTCGACAATTTTCTTTAAGAGTTTATCAAGAATTGGCATTTCCTTTTACATTTTGGTAGAAGTCACCAATTTTCAGTGAGATAAAGAGAAATAACCACTGTAACTGTCTAGACTTGGGGTTTAATTCATGGGGAGGTTTTAAACAGCAAAATTCAATTTTTTAAAAATCACAGAGCTATTCAGTTTCTCTATTTCTTCCTGAGTGAGCTTTCACAATTTGTGTCTTTCAAGGAATTTGTTCATTTCATCTGGGCTGTTGACTTTATTGGTCTAACATTGTTCATAATTGTCCCTTATTATCCCTTCATTATCTGTAGAATCTTTAATAATGTCACTTCTCATTTCTGATATTAGTAATTTGTCTTTTCTCCCTTCCCCCCCTTACCAGTCTACAGGTGTATCAATTTTATTGATCTTCTCAAAGAATCAACTTTTGATTTCACTGATTTTTTTCTAATTGCTTTTCTATTTTCTATTTTACTTATTTCCTCACTGATATTTATTATTTCATTTATACTATTTACTTTGGTTACAATTTGCTCTTTTTCCAGTTTCTTAAAGTAGAAACTGAGCTCCTTGATTTGAGATTTTTTTCTTTTGTAATGAGTGCTTTGTTCCATATATTTCCTCCTCTGCAAATAAAAATTCTGTTTTAATTTTATTCAGTTTTCTATATTCTCCCATTTGATTTTTTTGACCCATGAGTTATTTAGAAGTATTAGTTTCCAAATATTTGGAGATTCTCTTATTTATTTCTAATTTAATTTATTGGATTCATAGAACTTATTTCATATAATCTGAATCCTTGTACATTTTTTGAAATTTGTTTTATGGTTCAGAATATGGTCTATATTGGTAAATGCATGCACTTGAATATAATTTGTATTCTGTTGAGTGGAGTACTCTATAAATAAATGTCCAAACCTGTAGAGAATTTTTATAGGAGTTTTTTTGAGCCAAAACTGACAACGATTGCTGGGAAGCAAGATCTCAAATGCTTCAAAGAATAAGAGCTTTGCAGTTTCTTCAATGCTTTTGAAATTAAGGAGGGAACATAAGGAAGATTACATGAAGGTGGGATAAAGCAAGGTGGGGATTGGATTACAGGGTAGTTAACAAGATTATGTGCTCTCTTGAGGGTGGTTATGTTTTTACTTCAAAGGTGTATAATCTTAGATGACAAAAACAATTGACAGAGCTTGCTTAAGGCAAAGATAAACCTTTCACTAAAAAAGTTATATGCCTAGAGCATGACTATGCACCATGACCTTCCCAGTTAGGAATGTATGATCAGGTCACCCTGTGAGTCCACTTTCCATAGAACCATATATATATATAAGTTGATCTTATGGTTTTCTCACTATATATATATTCTTTAGAAGACCTATACCTAAAACAGAAAAGACTGAAAAGTTGAAAGCAAAAGGATGGAAAATGTATACTAGACAAATATTAACTGGTGATGCAGTTGTATTACTATCAGACAAAACAGACTTTAAGTGAAAAAGTATAACTGAAGATAAAGATGGTTACCATGTGATAATAAGATTCAATTCCATATATGATAATTCTGAACTTGCATGCCCACCTATATGCTCTTAGTAACAAGGCTTGAAAATATGTATATATTTAAAAAACCAAAAAAAAATTGAAAAAAATCTACTATTATAATATGATTGATAGATTAAGCCAACAAAATTGTGTTAAAGACGTAAATGGTTCGAACAACACAATAACAAGCTTCATTTAATGGATATATACAGGGACAAACATCAACAACTGGA